GACATCTTTGATATGGCATCTTAATTCCTTGAAGATAACAGACAAGTGTACAGAACTGTATTCTAAAGCACAACAATGGGGCTATGAAAGGGGACAGATGAATGGGCAAATAATAGTTTTGTTTAGCATATTAGATCATAGTTCTTGATTAGTTTTTTTTAGTTAAAGATCACACATACGGTGTGATTTCTATACCAAAGACATGCTTATTTCAGTATTAGAAAAATGTTTTTCTTACACATCCTGAAAATTGCAATTTTTAAAATGTGCAAAATAAATTCTTATTGAAAGAAAAAAATAAAAAACTTAAAATTCAAAAAATAGAATGTCCTCTTGAATGAAATTTAGAAAAAATAATTTCATTAAAATTACACCTAGGGTTAACAGGCCACTTTCAGCAATACAGTTATTTTAAAAACAAACTACCTTAACCAGATCACAAGACATTGGTGAATATTAGAAAACAATGTAAAAGGTGGCAGTTTCAGATTAACTGTTTCCAGATGAGCATGATTAACCTCGAAAAACAGAAACCTATTTGCTTTTAAAAAATTATAATGGCAAGGTGCATTTATAAGTTGACAATATAAAAAAATATAAAAGATGACTTACCAAATATCCTTGGTAGAAATAAGCACAATATATTGAGAAATATAGTTCCAGTCTTTTCTCTATATACTTTTTTACATGATTAGAATATTTCATATACAAACACTATTTGAAAATTTTTATCTTAGCAATTAACTTGTTATGCTATTAAAATTATTCAAAATTGCTTTAATGGCCAATTTACTATAGTTTCTTCAATTTCATCTCTATATAGTATTGTTAATCATATTCTGTATGTTTTCTTATACTTCCCTAAGTGTGTCTGAGAAATATAATTATTAGGTTTTGAAGCCCAAATGTTTTAAAGGCTTTTAATGTAAATTTAGTCAACCTTTTCAAAAAGTATGATCAATTTATATTTCCACCATCGGTACATAAGGGCATTCATCTTAATGCCCCATGACAGGTTTTCAATTTTATCATAATTTAAGATTGCTGATTTGATGAGTGAAAAATCAGCATTTCACTGTTAACTGTACTCAACAGTACTCAGAACTACTGGCTGTCTCCCATCCCCAGTCTTGGTGTTGCAAATTCAAAGGAGGGGCATAAATAGAGGTATCTGGGCAGAGAAAGAAAGAGAGGACTAAGTGAGATAAGACTGAACAACTGGAATTATCAGTAACTTTTACTCAACATCTCTTTTCCTCAGTCCTCAGGACTACGGAAGCAGTTCCCATTATACAGATCAAACGGACCACACACACATTGTTTCCACTGGAAACTGTCCTTTCTCCACTAAAAGGTAAAATAGTTCTTATTCATACTTTGGTTTCCTCTCAAGCACTGGGACAAGGAACAAAAAAAGAAAATAGGAAATGGTTAGCTGTATAATTTATGGTTATAAGCAGCTCCCTCTTAATTTCTGCCACACTTTGTTGGTACCTTCATGATAAACAAAAGTTCCATTAAAATAAATGACTTATTTTTGTCCCACATTGTAACTGTCTATTTATATATCAGTTTCTTGAAATGAATTGTATCAACTTGAGGGCAGACACTTAATCACATCTTACTCTCTTGATCCCCACCATTGCATAACATGAAGAGCACATAAAGCATTTTTTAATGGTAAGCATAAAGCTTTAGCTTTGTGCACCTTACAGTAGTTGGTCTAGCCACTTATTAGCTCATATTTAAATAAACTACACTCTCATGTGTTAGATAAAGTTAAATCAGGCTAGAGGATTGGGGAAAAAAATCCTTATCTTAAATCAGACTATAACCTACTACACTGTAGTAGAACTAAGGTGAAATATTGAAGTAATATTTCAAGGAATATTTACTAATCCATATAACGTCCATGAGTGATATGCTTGAGAGGCATAATTTTGCTAATAAAATATTGTGAAGTGTAATTATTAAATATCTCTATCAATTACTGCAATGCTGGTGACCCAGTTGAGCTGGGCAAAATGTCTAAGATATAAACACCTTATTAAAATCATAACAAAGCAAATAAAACTAGTTTTATAAATCTCTGTAATTTCATGTTGCCAAAAAATCCTATCTATATTGCTGAGAGGCCTTTAAAAACAATAGGCCAGTCCTATTATGAAATAATTATCCAAATGCACCCTCTTGTGGCCAAAGGGCAATTCACCTACTAGCTTAGCAAAATTGTGTTTAAAATAAGGAGCATCCTGAGTAACATTTAACTGAAATTTTTCAAAATAAAAATAAAAATTATTATAGATTTACTTTAGTTTCTCTATAGCTCTATTCAATAATACTAATTTGAAAGAAATCAACCTATCTTAGTACTAAAAAATACTTACTATGTAAAATACACACATATACAATGAAAATAAATACCCAATGGTCTGATGATTCTTTGTATTTTTCTAACATTTTTTATCTCCAGAGCTTTTACTAATGGTTAAGTGTTCACCTCTAGCCTAAGGAAAACTGAGCACATATTAAACATGTCTAATCTGAAATTTTCACTAAATTCTCTTTTAATTTTAAATATGATGGTCTAAAATATTAAATATTCATCACAGATATCTTTTTGCCATTAAACTGCATCAAGTAGAATGTCCATGTTTCTTACTAACCTTGATATCACAAATGTGCTAAATGTATTGTCTATGAAGATAATGCCTTAAAAAACTTGTAACAAAAACATTTCTAATACTTTGATGTCAGAAAACACTTCAATAAAATGGTAATACATTTTTAAAAGCTAATGGCATAAGAATACAGCCAATAAAAAGCTATTTTTTATTTTTTTAAATCTGTACTTTTTACTTCAAATACTTTATTATATTTCATTGGGTTTCTATCTTTTTGGGGGAGGTTCCTATTTTTCTATGTGTGGCTAAAAGATATTAGTGAATATGAAGTAGCATTTTTATGTTTCATGTCTTTATTGAATAGTTTCAAATATGAAGACATTGGTGAAAAAACAAACATATAGTGGACAAGAAATAACAGTCACCATATCATCTTACTTCTTCAACCTAATGCATTTCAGAATAATACATAAGCAATTTTTACATTTTTAATTTAAGCTTACAATCATTTTTTATTTTACCATACTGTCAAATACTTGTGAAAATAAATAAAAATAAAATACATGATGCATAGGACGATTTTTAAAAAAATTGAACTATTGCACAATAAATCAGTGTGAGAATAAACTATGCAAGTAATACAAAAATGCATTTAAATACATTGTCACAACATATTTCAAGAGTCATAAATCTATTTCACCCACTGTTTATAATAATCTCTGGGCTCTGAAAATGGATGTTTTCTTACCAACCCATCTCCATGTGGTACAGTATAACGTTTATTTACTACTGTAAAATTCAGTAAGAAACAAATATGAGCCAATTACTTATCTATCCCTTCCTTGAGCAGACAAAAAAATTATGTGGTCTTAAAAAAATACTTTGGAAAAAAGCAGTGCTTAGCCTTAGATAAAACAAGAGTTTAAAGTTCTTCATGTGATTTATAACAGGACAGAAGTGATTGAAATGGAAATCTAACATGTGCATTTGTCTTCTAAATTAATTAGTTTATTTCAATTGGATTATTTGTTTGTTTTGACCAATACAACTGAATAAAGATAACTGAGGGGGAAATACTAGTAAAAAGCCAGGAAAGAAACTATAAGGTAAGTAAAATGAGAATTCCTATTAAGTTTATAACTCCTGCCCAAAATAAACAATGTTAATAAATTTCAGAAAAATGTAAGCCAAAAGTTTTTACATTGTGTCTTATAGTTGATCAGAATCATAAACAAAACCTAGGAATTATATAAAAGATTTGCTTGTACCTTACAGTAAGATCAAAGCTCTTAGGTTTGATTGAACAGAAATTACAGAATTGCTGCCATCAAGGAAATCTACTACTAATTACTATGCTATAATGAAAGTGACAATGATTAAGAGCTGTATTGTGGTCGGATTAAAGAGAAAAAATAATTAAATTTTTGTGTATGTTTAATTAGATAATTACACATTAAAACAATACTTTAGTGGGTCCTTATTGTGACATGAATGGTGTTTCAACATTATACATTAAAGAAGAAACTATGAGTAGGAAAATTAGATATTCTCTTAACCTACTCATAACTACATCTACTTCCAGGAAAAATAAATTCAAATATTTTTATCTGCATGCTCTGCACTAATGATTAGTTACCACAACTATTATGATTAGGTGAGGTGATTTGTTTCAAAATGCATTAAAATAATTTATCCTAAATTCAGATACAAAAAATTAAATGTTCTTAAACATGTAAGATTTTGCTGGGAATTTTGTGTTTTCTATACTAAATAATTACATTTTCAAATACAGCAAACAATGAACTAGCAAATTAAAACTACTCTTCACAGGTTATGAAAAAGGAAGAAAAAAGTGAAACAGTTGGAAGTAAAAAAATATGTTCAACGAATACATACAAAGGTAAAAAAAATTCGGTTATAAATAGAGTAAGAGATTTGTATTTTTAGTCTTGTGTTTTTGAAAAGGAAATCGCGTAATTACATTTTTACAAAATGAGTAAGATGTTTAAATTATATAACTAATAGAGGGGTGTTTTTTCTCTTAGTTTTTAGGATTTATAAAATAAGTTGTTGACATGCTCTACAGGAAAGTGACCTTACATACCTAATGGTAAGTAAAACCATTCTCTTTAATTACAAAATTCCCAGCATCTATCCTACTATGATACTATCTTAAGATAGATACAAATGTTTATTCAAATTTTTTGCTCAAAGTTATAATTATCCTAAAGCTTGAAGGGCTAAGCACTAGAGTATGAGAGTTTATGAAAATGTACTTAATGTGCTTTAACAACAGAAAAATAACACCTAAATTAATCATTCCATTTGAAATTATTTTCTGACTGATAAGTGATTATTTCCTTGAATGGCACAGTCTGGGATATGAGATATTTATTATATACAGTATATGTATACATATAAATACACACACATATAGCCAAAAAATTATGCTCCAAAATTACTGGAAATGGTATTTTGTGTATTTTTAGCACAAAATAACTACAGGAAGTGAGTGCTCTAGCTGTCCAAGCAGCAATAATCATAAACTCTGAACTTGGCTTTTGTTTTTTTTGAGATTCTATTCATAGAATCATTCTTCGAATACCACATTCACAGCAGAACTTGGCCCATTCTACTGGGTATTTAGTCCCACACTCATGGCAGAATTTTGGTAAGTTCCCAGGTGAATTTCCTTCAATGCCTTTAATATTCCCACCATTAAGGGAAGATGCATAGTCTCCATCTGGTCTAAAAATGTAAAGAAAGAATGAAAAGATAAAGTTCACATCAGTAGTTTTCAACCCATACCCCTGGAGAAACATGACATAAGTGTAACAATTAGTCTCCTTAATCTCATTTTAAATATTCCTTTAGTTCAAATTAAAAAAAAAATCCTTGTTAGTAAATATTATAATTCTAAAATTTTTTCTTTAACATTATATTTATTTGCACTAGGAGAATTTATCATGACTAATTGCAGCCATGCTTTCTGTATTAGCCCATTCTCACACTGCTATAAAGAACTACCTGAGACTGGGTAACTTATAAAGAAAAGAGGTTTAATTGATTCACAGTTCTGTAGGCTGTACAGAAAGCATGGTTGGGAAAGTTTCAGGAAACTTCACAATCACAGCAGAAGGCAAAGGGGAAGCAAGCATGACTTATATGGTGGGAGCTGAAGGAATAGAGAAGGGGCGGGTACTACACATTTTTAAACAATCAGATCTGGTGAGAACTCACTATCACAAGAGCAGCAATGGGGAAGTCCACCCCCATGATCCAATTTCCTATCACCAGGCCTCTCCTCCCACATTGAGGGTTTGCAATTTCACATGAGATTTGAGCAGGGACACAAATCCAAACCACATTGCTTTCCATCTCTTTGTGCTAGAAATTTACTACACTGGGAGCAGAATGAACGTTTATGATGTCCTTTCTGCAAACCCATCTCTAAAGGGAAAACTGAAACCCAACCCTGAAGACAGAAATCCTTAGGTTTCAAGTCTCTCTCCTTGGTCACAAGGATTGTAAGGTGATACCTGTAGTATTTAATTTTATTATTTAATTATATTAAATTATTGTGATGCAATAAATACTTAAAACAAGCTCTTATGCATACCCTCACAAGGTCTCTATTAACAAAACATATTTTAAAAAGTAAAGTAGATGCTAAACTATGCACTATAACAAAATTTTAGAGCAAAAAGCTTGAGATTATAAAGGTTTTATCACAGATGTCAGACATTAAAGAAATGCAGATTCTACCGACAAAATAATTAATTGGAAGAACAGCTATTTGATTCCTATAAAAACATGTTTACATTTCCTAGTGGCATGTGTTCTTCTGAGAACATGATACTTACTTTAAAGTCCCTGGAAAGGGAACTCTTAATCGCTAGGAGGATTATAAACAAGACATTACTGGAAAAAAAAATTCCTTTTTTTTTTCCACAGAGTTAGTTATTGAAGAAATCTAGGTGCTACCCAGTTTGGGTGCATCTTTCATACAAGCAGTTTAGGAGTGATAAAAACAAACAAGAACTGGACTTTCTAATGAAAGGTACTAGGGATTTAGAAGAGATAAAAATAAGACTAAATGTCAGCATTTTGTGGTACTTCTTTCCCTCCTCTTTAAGCTCCACTAGAGAGAGGCTATAGAATTACTACAAACTTCCGCATCAAGAAACATACTCTCTTAGATATTGAGAACAAATTTATAGCATAAGCATAATTCCTTTAAACTACAAAGAAGATACTAATGAATTAGAATACATAACCCCAGGCAAGAAACAGTGCCAAGGGAAAATAAGTCAGCTTTATTGTCAATGACAGCTTTATTTTCAAAAAATAAAAGGTCATTTCAATGCTATTGTACACACACTCAAGGAACTCAACACACATACTAACATTAACAAATATCAAAACTTCAACATAATTAGATACTGCCTAATTTCTTTGCATAGTGATTGGCAAATTTATACCCCCAGTGGTAGTATCTTGATTCCTTACATTTTCTAACACCATTTGCACTGTCAAGCGTTTTTTGGTTTTGCTGACCTGATGAGAGTGAAATGGATGGTAGTTTAGTCTACCACTGATTTAATGCACATTTCCTGATTGTTTGTAACACTGAATATTTTTTCATGTTTGTGTTGTTTATTTTTGCCATTTGGATTTCTTCTACTGTGAACTGACTATTCCCTATTCCCAAATCCCACCAAAACCCAAAGCCATTTTCTACTGTATGGGTTTTTTAAAACTTTATTTGTAGAAATTCCCAACAATTCCTAGACAGTAATGTGTTTGTTTATGTATATAGTATGTATCCTCTCGCAAGCAATCATGCTATTTCATTTTATCCATGGAGCTTTTTACAGCACTAGTTTGCATTTAGACAGGATCAAATATATCCATTTTTTGCTATGCAATTTGCATTTGCTAAATTATTCAAGAAATCCTTTCCTAATGCAGATGAAAATGAGACTTTCTTATGTTTTATTCTAAAATCTGGATAGCCTTCCTTTGCACATTTAGGCCTAATTTTGTTGACATGTAACTGACTGTTTTATACCTGATATGAGGTAGAAAGCTTTTCTCCACATATGGACGCCCAATAGTCCAAGTACTCCCACCTCCCAAATCTATATTGCTACTTCTGAAATGTGGCAAATTTCCAGTTACTTATGAGGCTGGGGTCTCTTGATTAACACTCTATTGTGATCTATTGTTCTGTTTGTCTATTCTTGAATCAGTATCACACTGCCTTAATTACTACAGTTTCACACATCATTCACACATTTTTCTCTTTAACTTGTCCTGGCTAATATTAGACTTTTGTGTTTCATATACATTTTGTAAACAACTTGTCAAGATTTACAAATTCGTTTGAAAATTTCACAAATTTATACATTAATTTTGAGGAGAATAGACAGCTGTACAAGACAGCTTCATAATAGTAAAGTTTTTATTTTATAAAGAAGGTATGTAGAGGCATACCTTAGAGACACTGCAGGTTTGGTTCCAAACCACTGCCAAAATGCAAATATTACAATAAAGCAAATTACATAAATTTTTTTGGTTTCCCAGTACATAATAAAATTTTATATTATACTATAGTCTATTTAATTGTGCAATAGTATTATGTCTAAAACGACAATGCATACATGTACACAATTTAAAAATACTTTCTTGCTAAAAAATTCTAACACTCATCTGAGTTTTCAGGGAGTTGTAAACTTTCTTCAAGTAGAAGGTCTTGCCTCAATGTTGATTCCTGCTGACTGATCAAGGATGGTGGCTGCTGAAGATCAGGGTGACTGTGGCAATTTCTTAAAGTAATGAAGTAAGTGTGCCACATCGAATGACTTCCTTTTACGAATCATTTCTCTGTAGCATGTGATGCTATTTGATAGCACTTTACCCACAGAATTTCTTTTGAAATTGGGGTCAGTTGTCTCAAACCCTGCTTTGCTTTATCAACTAATTTTATGAACTATTCTAAATCCTTTGTTGTCATTTCAATGATGTTCACAGCATCTTCACCAGGAGTAGATTTCATGTAAAGAAACCACGTTCTATCTTTCTTTTCTTCTTTTTTCTTTTTTTTTTTTTTTTTTGAGACGGAGTCTCGCTCTGTCACCCTGGCTGGAATGCAGTGCCCCCATCTTCTCGGCTCACTGCAACCTCTACCTTCCAGGTTCAAGCAATTCTCCTGCCTTGGCCTCTGAAGTAGCTGGGACTACAGGCATGCACTACCATGCCCACCTTATTTTTGTATTTTTAGTACAGACGGGGTTTCACCATGTTGGCCAGGCTCGTATTGAACTCCTGACCTTAGATGATCCACCCACCTCGGCCTCCCAAAGTGCTGGAATTACAGAGGTGAGCCACCACAACTCCTCATCCATTTCAGTTTTATCCTGAGATTGCAGCAGTTCAATGACATCTTCAGGCTTCCCTTCTGATTCTAGTTTTTTTGCTATTTCCAGCACATCTGCAGTTACCTCCTCCAATGAAGTCATTTAAGCCCCTCAAAGTCATCCATGAAGTTTCGAAACAACTTCTTCCAAACTCATTTTGACCTCCTCCCATAAATCACATATGTTCTTGGTGGCATGTAGAATCGTTAATCCTTTATTTTTTGAGACGGAGTTTCGCTCCTGTTACCCAGGCTGGAGTGCAATGGCGCAATCCCAGCTCACGCAACCTCCGCCTCCTGGGTTCAGGCAATTCTCTGCCTCAGCTTCCTGAGTAGCTGGGATTACAAGCACGCGCCACCATGCCCAGCTAATTTTTTGTATTTTTAGTAGAGACGGGGTTTCACCATGTTGACCAGGATGGTCTCGATCTCTTGACCTCGTGATCCACCCGCCTCGGCCTCCCAAAGTGCTGGGATTACAGGCGTAAGACACTGCGCCCGGCTTGGTTTAAGGTTTTCAGATTACTTTGCCCAAATCCATTAGAAGTGTACAACTTAAAAGGTCAATTAAAAGAAAAAAATCAGATTTTCTATAAATAGCTTGTTACTTAGTTTGTATATGGTCCTTGGAAAACTATCCTATACTCCTTTTTATTTTAGTTATTAGGATAGCAGAGTTAAACATACCTGGCTATGTAGCTCTCAGTATATGTTTTTCTTTTGTTTGTAAGCACACCTGGGGCCGGATTTCTTGCCAAACTAGGTGGTGTGGAATTTCGAGGTTTGATATTAGCTCTATAAAAAAGAGAAAAAACAATGGAAAGGTATTGAACAGTGAGCATCTATTTCTCAAATTACGTATTCACATGATTAGAAAGAATATTTAGAAGCTTCAGAGCAGTTCAAAAGACGAAAGTCCCAATAATGAACTTAAATCTCAAAACAAATAGTAGTTAATATTAAAGATAAATCAAATAATTTTGCAGTTACTAACCTATCCTCACAATAAATAAAATCAACTAAAACATGTATATATGCTTTACATGAAAATTTTAAAGTAATCATTCTGAAAGACACATTTTTAAAAAGTTTAAATTTTTATTTCCCTAAAAACATATATTCTGGTAAATGCTTATAGATAACTATTAAATAAACACACATTTTATTATTATTCTACTCATATATGTTGTGGTTAAAAAAGAATTTCTTTTGGTAGTCACATTAAAGGATAATATTCAACTTATGAAAGTTCTTAAAAGCAGCAACTAAAATAAATGAGTTAATATAATATTCCATGGGCGATCTAAAATCAGAGGGACTTCTGGTTGGATCATCTATGACTCTCCATTTTGAAACTTTAAGAATCAAGGAGAGTTTAGAAAGCTAAATGATGATATAACACTAAGAGTAGAGGCTTGGGAATTCAGATGAATTTAGATGTGAATGTCAATGCTACTGACAGCTTTGTGACAGCAAGTCTGAGTCTCATCATTTATAAAATAATTACTATAGAAAAGTTATGAGATAAAAAGTACAATTCATATAAATATTTAGATAGTTGATGATAATACTTACTACTGCTATTGCCACTATAAGTTTACATTTATATAATAGTGCTTATTCCATGCCAAATACAATTCTAATTATTTTGCCCATAGAAATTTATGTATACCAATAATCCTATGAAATAGGTAGGATTAATAACTCCATCTACAGATGAGACATATGAGGTAAAGTGCCCCTAAGTTACTTACCCAAGGTGACACTGCTAGTGCTAGGATCACTTGAAAAGCTAGGATTTAGATGTCCATTAAAGCATAGTTCCCTCCCTTTCTATAGAGCTTTAATCAAATCTTTACATTTCATAGGTAATCAGTGTTGTGTTATATGAACAACCAGAATACTTTAAAATATACCTCCAGATTAGAGATTCTTAAACTTTGGTTGAAATTCTTCTTACTCTACTTATAGGGCAAAGTAGGAGAGAGTACCCTAAAATTGTAAATAGCTGCTTCCAAAGTACATGCAGGTAATAACAACATCCACTATGTTTCAAAGATCCACTACATGACAATATGAAGCCAGGTACTACACATACCTTATTTAATGTCCCCCAGATCTCAGAAGATATTATTCGTATTTTAAAGAGGAAGTGTGTTTAGAGAGATTATATAAATTGTGAAGCTATTATGTGGCCAGGGCAGTACTTGAACTTAATTACAGAACTCATACTCAATATACAATGCTGTCATTCAAAGTGGTTGCTTTGCATGGTGGCTTCTTAAAATTACTTCTAAACTTCAGCAAGCAAAGAATCACCTAGGGTGCATGAATGGAATGCCCTGTACCTCTTCAAATGCTCATTACAATTCCATCCATGAGGTGTATTCTACTCTTTTGTATAGCCTCTTTTGGGATATTGTAGAACTACTAGAGTCCCCTTCTAGAAATTCAGTCTCTAAGTAATGGTTGTCAAAGAATGGTATTTAAATAGGAAGAATACTTTTTTTGCGGGGGGTGGGGGGTTAACTGCATAAGTTATACATACAATACAAACACACCCATAAACATACACATAATGTCACCATATTAGTAACTTAAGGTTGTTCAAAATGTTTATATTTAGAGGAAAATAGAAGAGATTATCATCATTAATAGCTACCAATATTAAATACCTATCATTTATTTTTAGTAACATCTTTTAAGAGGTGAAATGTCAAGAATCATTTAGATTGGGAAGCACAATTGTCTGTCTTGATCACTTAAAACATCTTGCCCCAGTCTTACACAGGCCACAAATTGTTCCTCCTATTCAGAATCTGAAAAGCATTACTCTTACTGGGTATCTAGAATCTACCTGCTACAGCTCATATGAATAATTAAAGAAGGTTTAATTTTGGAATTGTACTCAATTCATCTTACTGCTAGTCACTGTTACTGTGAGATCTGCTACAGATGGGTCTGACAGTAGAAACAACACAATGAAAAACAGCTTGTGGCATAAACTCTTCCTGCTAGGATTTATTACTAACTACTTAAAAATAACAAATGGCTGCTGCTAGTATCGCAAAAACTTCTCTTATCTTTGTGTATCTAGTTAAGTTTATTATTACTTTTCCTACCTACATAGTGAGCAGACTGTTGTAGTAGGTGTTGGCTTCAAAGTTAACTAACTTACTCTGTTTAATAATATATATTCCACCATTAATAGGTAAATTAATTTTTAGGCCTTAATTTCATATTTAAAATGAGGGCTAGAATTCAGACCCAAATTAGTAAACCTTGAAGATTCATGCTATAGAGTTTCAAAACAACTGCCATTGCCACACTCTTTTCAACCAGCCAGGCCAGAACTGAGAGAAGAGTTATTCAGCAGTGTCACACTCTTTCCAGGTGGTAAATGGAATTTACAACCATCTAAGAAAAGACTAAGGACCCTTGGATTGAAAGTTCCCTAAAATCTCTTTTTGTCCTGGCCTTCTATAATAGTTCATCATTTGCTTATCTAAAAGATAATCTAACAATATCATATACTATACATTATTTTTCTCAAACTCTACTTTTTAAAACTATAAAAAATCCTGATTACTCCTAAAGAAAAACTTAATAAAAACAATTACTAAATGTGACTGTGATTTAAAACCTCTAAAAATTAATATTTAATGGAATAAAATGTATAATCTCAAAATGTTTTAAATCCTAGATTATTCGGCACATTTTGGCTTAGAAATTATTAAACAGATTTAAGTATGAGACAGTAATATATAGTACTCCATTATATAAAGCTTTTAAGAAAATATCTGAAAAATATTAACCAAACTGAGTTACAAATACTTACTTGTAAATAGGTAATAACATATCTTTTGATGGCACTGTCTGATTTTGTATCACTGTCATACAACCTTTGCACATGTCTTCCAGTTCGAAGTGAAGGGCCTAACTTGTCCATATTACTATTAAAATATACAAAGGTATACCCATAAAGAGATTGCTACTGTTTGTTTCCTTTTATAAAGTTTTTTTTTTTTAAGACATTATTCTGGTTCATCAGAAATCTGCTTCCCAAGCCCTTAATTTTATTTGTCAAGGTAAGAACTAATGTCCAAAAGAATCATCAGAGAGAGTTCATAAAATGTGCACTATGAGATCTGCAAATTCTGACTATGCAGGTTACCCTACATATCCAAACAAATGTCAAATTACACATAGCAGGGCAATGGAATCAATGAAGATACTTAGGAAGGACAACTATTTCAAAAATAAAAATAAAAAAAATTCATGAAGCTGTAAGTGAAATGAACACTGTTATTCATGAATAATTTTTCTTCCTCCCTGAATTCATAAAAACTTTCTCTATTCTTCATATTATCTATTTGCTTGCTTTTTAAAATTCCAAAAATAAGAAACTGAATAAATAACATTTACCTCATCTGATTTTCTAACCCCATTGACTTTCTAACAAAAAAGTGACTTTATTTCTGAAATGTATCCAAAGTAAAACAGGACTCCGCATGGAAAAAAAAAGGATGGCAATTCTAAAAATCACATATAATAATGGTAAGGGGCCATTCCATCTAAACACACATACACACACACATACACACACACGCACACACACACACACAATTTAACCAAAATTATAAAGGATTTCCATTTAGAGGATAGTAAGACAAACTGCAGGAATCAACCAACCAAATAACTGAATCATATGAATTATCACCATTTGACATCTAGTCATAATAGGGAGCAGGAAAAATTGAGTTAGGAAATCAGGAAACTCTTATTTGCCTACTGAATAATACATCACTGCTTGCTAACTTTAAAAGTCCATTCTTTTTAAGAGATGTTTGCTCACTCACTTATACTGACTATAAATCCTGGTCATCTACTACATGTCAGGCACTGTGGAATATTCTGGGTATGTGGTGGTAAATAATATAGATCTGATGCTTGTTCTTAGGCAGTTTAGTGTCTGAAAGGAATGTGATCATCTTTCTAGATTATAGATATCTAAGAGGAGGGACACATTTTATTAATATTTGTCTTTCAGTAGCTTATACACAGCAGGCATTTTGTTGAAAAAATTGATATTCATACTTTGCAGGTGGTGGTGTTTACGTGAGGATTTAAAGTTCTTAAAAGCAGACTTCATTAAATAAATATATTAAGTATAATGTCTAAAATATTTTAAATTAAAATGTTTTTAATTTGTTAAAAATTACTGAGAAAGCCACCTATTGAAATTTTAATTAAACAATGTTTAATTAAACATCAAAACATGTTTGTTCCAAACAGTGGTTATCTTAGAAAAGGCATCTGTGATTCTGAAAACAAGAAATAAAAGTTTTCTTTCTCAGAAAAAATTTACTGAAATTAAAATTTAGAAAACTTTTAACTATATTTTAAAAACATATTCCTCTTATATAAGCAATGGTCACCTGGTGCAGTGGCTCATGCCTGTAATCCCTGCACTTTGGGAGACCAACGCAGGTGGATCACGAGGTCAGGAGTTCAATACCAACCTAGCCAAGATGGTGAAACCCCATCTCTACTAAAAATACAAAAATTAGTTGGACATGGTGGCACACACCTGTAATCCCAGCTACTCAGGAGGCTGAGGCAGAGAACTGCTTAAACCCAGGAGGCGGAGGTTGCAGTAAGTGGAGATTGCGCTACTGCACTCCAGCCTGGGTGACAGAGACTCCTTCTCAAAAAAAAAAAAGATAAAGAAAAAGAAATGGTCAAATCCTACATGTGATACAACAAAGTTCAATTCAAGAACGATGTGTAAAATC